ATTTCTGCTGAGCAGCCTGAGACCTTAGTATTTGGACCCCAGGAGAACTTATAAGGGCGCAGCTGAGGGCAGAAGCTGCTGTGAGCTTGACTTGGGGAGTAGATTTGCCACCTGCTCCTGTTCCTGTCTTGGCGTTCATCTCTCTCTTGACATTCATCGGCCCTTCCGCCTCCATCCATCCGTTCAGTCTCCGGCCTCTGCTCTTGGGAGCCTGGCTTCTTTCCCATCAGCCTCAGCAGCTGAATTCTGGGCCTGAGGCCACAGATCATCACGTAGTCTTCTCGGCTCCTCAGCCGGGCTTCCCTCTAGGTGCTGCGTACAGGGAGCTGAGCAGACGGAACTCCTGCCCCGGGAGCTAGAACAGCGGCTGCCTCTTTGGGAGATGTTCCCTGAGCACCCTTGCTTTGGCGTGGCATACTGTGTTCTAAGGAGATGCCACACCAAAATGATCACAATGTTCACTGCTAAATAATCTTTCTTTAGAGCTTTTGGTGACCTTTAGATAGCATCAGGATGTGCAATGGCCCGACTTAATCTTTAATTCTGTGCCCGACTGGCCGGAAGCGTGTAAATGGCTGTGGTTTAACTTGCAGGAAAATACATAGCTTTGTATCCAGCTGAGACGCACGCCGGGAGATGCAGGCCCTCTCCTACACTAGTCTCCTGCCCATTGCTCCTGACCTCCCTTTTCCTCCCTTAAAGGCCCGGTGTGCCCCTGAGTTTCCCAAGTCGGGGCTTTGGAAACAACAGCCCCCATCTTCCAGGGCTGGCCACAGACACACCTGCTTTCCTTCCCCCCAGCTCTCACCTCCCGAGTTTTGTACCGCCTCTCAAGGAGCCAGCAGCTGACCTGGCTCTGGTCCAGAGGTGGTGCTGCCTGAGGACCCTGCTGCTTCAGAGATGGCTTCCCCAGCATGAGACCCACCCTGAATGTTCTTCCGTGTGACGCTGGCCCTCTCCTTACAGCTGGTGCTTCTTCAGAACGCTTTGACCCTGAGTGCATGGCGGGTCCTAAAAGGCGATCCAACTTTTGCCTGGATTTTGCTCTTGCGATTTGTCCCTTTGCAGCTCTGGAAGAAGTCTGGCAACCCAGAAGCTGCCATTTTGAGAGAGAGAGAGAGAGGGAGTCCACGGTCCCTCAGTGTCCCAGGCCTCCATGTCCAGTCATCTCCAGCTCAGGCATCAGACGTGTGCGCGACCTCGCTTTCAGACGACCCCAGCCTCTGACCTGTGGCCTTGCCGGTGGAGCAGAAATGACCTGTCTCTTTGCAGCCCCGTCCAGACTGCAGATCTGTGGGTCGTGCAAAGGTTATGTTTTACACGACCAAGTTTTGGAATCGTTTGTTGCACAGGAACAGACGATAAATAAGATAAATGAGCCAACAAGGTGGCTGATTGTGAGAGCTAAGGAGGGAAGCAGAGAAGGGAGACAAACACGCCACAGCAGTCTGAGGTTGACCAGCTGAGCCATGGCTCACTGACAAGTCAGTCTGGGGAGACCTGAGGAAGGGCGGGCGTTCCAGGCACACAGAAACGGAAGGGCACCGCTCGGGGGGCTGGAGGTGCGAACCTGGAGCCGACCCTGTCAGAGCCGTGGACCGCTGTCAGGGCTTTGGCCCTCACTTTGCGTGAGATGAGACCACAGCGGGTGTCGGTGTAGATGTGGCATACTTAGTTTTTCTTTTGTTGGTGCCCGGGATCAAATCCAGGACCCCTGGGAGCCTGGGCAAGGCCTGTGCCCGCTGAGTGACATTCCCAGCCCACGATTCTGCTTTAACCCTGTCAGATCCTTGCATGGTATTTCTAGAAGTGAAATTCTGAATCAGGACATGTCCCCCTTGTCTTTTTGGTAACCTGGAATTAGTGTTACTATCGCCCATATAGTTTCCTAATGACGAAGTACCACAACTAGGTGACTTAAAACAACAGAAAGGAATTAAATCTCAGCCCTGGAGGCTAGAAGATCCAAATCAAATTGTCGGCAGGGCCGCATCCTGGGAGACCTGGAGACTCCTCCTCGCCTCGCAGGGCTGGTGGAGGTTTTCCGTCCTTGCCATTCTTGGCCTGCAGCCACTCACTGGGAGCCCCACTGGTCCTCCCACGGCCGTGGTCTTGTGGGAACGCTGGTCACAGAAAGCTCAGGTATGGAGGCGCTAGGGTAGAGACAGTTCAGCCCTGAGCACTGGCATTTTTAGGAACCACAGGTCGTTCCTCAGAGGGGAAACTTGCCCGCATCTTAGGCTACGCCTGGTGCTAGTCAGCCCTCCTGTGTTCTTGAGTTCGTTCTGTGTGAGTGTGTGTAAGTTGACCTGATCCTTTTTCTCATGATGCAGTGGCTTCACAATGCTGATGTCCTCTAAACACGTCTCTGTGGGTAGACATAAATATTATCTTCAGGTCTTGCGCTTCTGCAAAAGTAAATACGGTGAAGTGGCCTTTTTCTTTTTCTTTTCTTGTTTTTAGTATATGTGCTGCTGAAGTGAGCACTCTTCTTGCTTTTAGGGGCCTTTCTTTGGTCTTTTTTCCCCCCACTTTTCTTTTTTGGTACTGGGAATCAAACTCACACTTGCCAGGGAGGCACTGTGCTGCTGAGTCACATCCCTGCCTGTTTTCTTAATATTTATTATGAAGTTTTCTTCATGGGAAGGAAGACCTTACTTTTGTTAAAAATAAGATATTGCTGAGCACCTCGAGCTGGAGCATCAGCTGTGCACACAAGTGGGAGGAGGGTTGACTGGACTCTGGGTAGCACCAGAGGAAGCACCAAGGGGCACGGCCGAGCACCATCTCTGAGACAAGGGATGAACAAGGAACCTCTCTGGACTCCCCTTTGTTCTTCCCTCAGTGGCCGCCGGGGTGGTGCTTCCCTGCTCACAGTTACTGTCAGCCAGAGTGTAATTCCAGTGCGAGCCGGAGGGTGAGGCTAGGCTTGTGTCAGTGTCAGGAGCAGGAGCGTCCCGATTAATGGAACTTTGGTGGGCCTGGGCTGTGGTGCTGCTGGGGCCATGGTGAAATCAGAGCGTGGTGGTAGCTGCGGGGACATATGTTTCAGGGGCAGGAGGGCAAGGCAGGAGTGGAAGAAGCCTCTTAGGAACGCCTTGGCCGACAGGCTCCCCAGGGAGGGGCAGTCCTACCCCCTCAGGCTCCTCGCAGCTCAGAGCATGAGGGGAAGTCTAGCTCTCAGGGGCTTCAAGGAGGCAAGGGTTGCAGTGCAGCCTAGGCTCTGCAGTGAGGGTTCCAGCGCTGAGGTGTTCGCAGCCAGCTGATGCTATCTATTGAAGACTTAAGCATTTTTAAATAGGTCTTCCCAGACAAGAGATCTCAAAAGGGTACAGTCATTCTGATAAGGATATGGAATTTTAATGCCACCTTGGAGGAGATGATAAGCCATGTGGGTGTGGATGGTTTCAGTTCTCAGACCTACTTTTTAAGATCTTCCTTTTAGGTTCTGGGGAAAGCCTCACGTAGAGAGAGGTTTCACCTCTCTCCGGGCAAGTTCTAACTCAGCGTTAACATTGTCTCCGCCATTCATGAAAAGATTTACTGCGGCTGTCTGACCGGGAGAGGGACCCTCATTTCTGCAGGAGACTGAGCCATGTTAGAATGACTGTCAGGAACTGAGACAAGACATCTGCTGAAGGACGTGCTAGGAGTGTGCAGGCGTAAACACTCGTGTGTTAGCGGTGCTACCTCAGGAGAGGAAACTTCACGGTCTTGGTTCTTTTTCCTGCACACAGGAGCAGCTCTGGGCTGAGCCCGGGAAGGTCTTGCTAAGAGAAGTTCAGCCCTCCTCACACTCACAGACCCAGCTCCTTGGCTCTGCACTCTCATCTGTCTGCATATGTTTATACTCAGAAGCGGGAGGAGGACGATCTCCCCAGGCACCCCTAGTCCAGCGCCACTCCGAGGGAGGCCCTGCGTTTGCTTGTGTGGAGTCCGTCTCTCCGGAACACCTTCCATCTTCTCCCACTTGCTTGGTGCGTGGGAAGCTGACCCTTGTGGCACCAGTCGGCTCTTTTGGTCCCCTGTTCAGCTAATGGGAAGCACAGGCCAGAGGGCAGAGACTGGGCAGAGAGGACTGAGCATCTGCTGGCTCCCTCCGTCCTGTCACCAGACGTCAGTCCCTGTCGAGTGACGCCCTATGCAGAGCTCTCTCCCTTAGAGGAGCAGCGTTCTCCTTTTGGGTCAGCAGGCCTCCAAGCGGAGAGAACTGCGCACAGCCCTGAGTTACTGTACTATTGCTTATGATTTCCCTGCGCTTTGTTCACAGTTTTGTAAATAGCCTGTCTTTTACTAATTATACTAAAATGATCCAACAAAAGGGTGCTGTCTTACCTGTTTGGTCCTTATCGATAGAGGGCTCTGCTGAGTTGTTCACAGAGCTGCAGTTTTGCTTCCCATTGGGTCAAAGCCAGGTGGTGCCTAGAAAATGTTTGATACATGTTTGTTGAGTGAATGAATGACTGACTAAGTGGTGAGATTTGTACTCCGGCTCTTTTTCTTCAAACTTCCAATACGGAGTTGAACATTTTCATGTACAGTATGTGTGCTTGATAGACTCTGAGAGCAATGTTCCCTGAATTTGCCTTAGTGCCTCCTGTCCAGGGTTTTCCTTCTCAGGGAAGCAAAGTTCAGCAAGCAAGACAGAGAGTGAAATACACGGATGTGATTCACGTGATGCCCACCTTCTGGGGACTATGCTTTCTTCAACTCGGGAACAAATAAAAAGTTCAGACCACAGAATAGGGAAGTGGACATTGGCAAATTTCATTTTTATTTTTGTGATCTTAAAGGAATCATACTGCATGAACTCAAACTACCAGTGTTGAATTTACAAATCTTACATGATGTGTATCACAATTATATTGTGTTAAGCATCGTAATATTAGAGGTAAATCTCATAAAACTATACCTATGATTACTATCGATTTTGTGACTTCAGGTTGTAAGGTGATTCATAGCACTTATTCTAATTACAATTCCATGTGCTAGTGTTACAGGATGCCTTCCGGTTGTGAGAGATACCCCGACTTGCATGGTGCTAGGAATACTTTAGTTACTCCTTTGGGAAGATACCTTCAGGAACGGAGCTCAGAGAAATGTCGGGCAGAACAGTTCCAAGACCCTTCAGCATGCCCGACTGGAAGGGAGTTTCTAGTTGCTTTTCACCCTGTCCCATTGGATTGACCTTACAGTGAGAAATTCCATGATCTTCCTCCCTGGATTTCCAAGCAGCAGTAAGGTCCAGGGTGAGTGGTCATAGTACACTTCCTCTTGACGCAGAGCTGTCCCTTTGATGATCTCCAGGGCGCAGTCCTCCTTTGGAGAAGCGTAGCCTTCATAAACCCCTTCAACTGCCTTCCTGGCTGTATCTGTAAGTGGCAAAGGGTGGGTGGGGTCACCAAGACTAGTCGAATCTGTGCCAGAAGACCTGCCAACATCGCGCTAGTCATTGGGACTGTTTCTAGTGATGGAGCCTCACAAGCCCTCAGAGCGCACAAGCCTGCTGGGCAAGGACAGAGGCTTGGTGCAAATGGCAGTAGGGGACCCGCCTGCCTTGCTGGAGATTTGTGGCATGTAGAGGCGATCAGTGGGGTAGCTGAATTGTGCCCTTGCCTGGGTATTGTGTGGGTGTGCTGGGGGGTGGAGGGGCAGAATGAGGTTGGGAGCCACGTGATGTCTTAGTGGGAAAACACCAGAGTGCTGTGCGATAGCAGCCTACTGCTTATAAAAGGAAAGGTGCATCTCGGGGTTTTGGTCCATTCTTCCACTAGAGGGAAACTCCACTGCTGGCTCTTCTCCTGAATTTTCTTGTCCTTTTCATATTGTACAGCTTCCTCCACTTTCCATTTCTTTGTAGTTTCACTCTGTGTCTTTGCCTATTTCATTCTCTAACTACTATTCAATTACTCTTAATAAAACTTATAATATCTGCTGCATGTTTTGGGTAGACTTGCATTTGGACTTAGAGAAAACCTGTAAACGTTGTACAGAGTGTTCTCTGTCTACCCCACTCTGCTTCCCAGGTCGTAGCATCATATGTAACTGTTGTGCAGTGACCAAGAGGTTTAACAGAATTAAGTAAATTACAAAACTGACTTTCCTCTAATGTCCTATTTATGGTCTAGGGTCATATCCAAGATTGCAGTTAGAAGTAATTTCTTATTTTTTCATCAATCTGTGACCGTATTTTCTTTCCTTGCCTCTCATGGCCTTGACACTTTGAAGAGCACTGATCAGTTTTTTGTTTTGTTTTTGGTAGTGGGGATTGAACTCAGGACCTTGCTCTTGCAAGGCAGGTGGCAGCACCATTGAGCTAGATCCCCAGCCCTACGGATCAGTTGTTTGAGGAATGTTCTTTGGGTTGATTTTGTCCATTATTATTTTTATGGTTGGGGTGAGGTTATATAGTTTTGGTAAGACTACCACAAAAATAATATTGTGTCTTTCTCAGAATTTATCAAAGCGTTTATAATTTCAGTATGTCTTACTACTATGGATATTATTGAGAAAAATACATATGTATTTGTTAAGTCTCATATGGAAAAGAAATGGCCATTGGGAGTCCGTAAGGACATAAGGTGTTCGGAGAAGGACAGGTGATGAATGTGGTGTCACTCAGCAGAGCTGGTGGATGGCATGGGAGGGCGGTGAGAGTGGCTAGAGAGAAACCCACCAGTGGTGCAAGTGCTTCATTCAATGAGAGCACCTGCTTTCCGTCCTGCCAGCGCATCAGTCTGGGCCAGGGAGGACAGCGCTCTCTTCACCCGCTGTGGCCAGGCAGAGTCCTGCCAGCTCACCTGTGTCTATGAGGCCGAGGACACACAGAGAGATCGACACATTGACTTTGCTCACGACAAATTCTTTCCTAATGGACGAGAAGAATCCATCCAGAGCAAACTTGCTTGCAGAATAGGGAGCAACCAGAGGATAAGGTATTTTCCCTAAATGGTAGATGGAAGGAACAGTTAACAAGGGGTTCCAGTTCAGCTTCTGATAGAGCTGTGCACTGGTCTGCAGTAGGCTTTGTAGCACCCTGTGGTCTGCCCTCTGAGTTTCATCTTCTCACTCTTCTCTAAGTTATCCTGCTGTGTTGAATTTCTGAAGTGAAAAACATCAAGGCATTAAAGGTACAGAGTGCGGAATGGGCTGCAAGGCAGGCGTCCTTGGAGCAGGATGGGTTAGGTTTCATAAGCTTGGTAAAGCAGCCGGGCTGCATGCAGCCCCTCAGCTCTCACGTTCCACCTCCCACAGGAGAGCTGGGGACGAACAGTGACAGGAGCGAGCTCTCCACCACCCCGGAGCTGCCTTCCATAGTGCAAGGGGGTGTTTTACACCAAAGGGATTGGAAACCCTTGCTTTCAAATTTTACACAGATGCTGCCCTTCACTACCTGACTTATTCCCACTTCGGGTTTTGGAGGCTGTGTGGACGTGTGGAGCAGAAGAGCTTGCCCATGACTCGCTTTTGAGAGGTGAGAGTAAAAGTGGCCTGAGATGCTGCCATTTCCTGAGCCTTGCTGGAGCTACTGCTGTAGAAGCTGGGTGATCTTGGGCTGGTTTCCATCCCCTGCTTCCCTCCTACGGTTCCACTTCCGCTCCCTGTATGCAGAGCAGTTTTGCTCTGTGCCCTGGATATTATGAATAAGCATTATAGAGTCTCTCGATTTTTCGCATTCCCCCAGAGTCTTGGTTTTTCTTTCAAAGTGAGCCGTTCACTTGGATGAAGCCGCGTCTCCTGCCGAGGGCACCAGCTGGAATCTGCTCAGTTATTTGTACCCTAATGGGGCTGCTTGGCGCCTGCACTGCCCACGAGTAGTTTGGGAGTGACCCGGATTTGGACTGAGGTCACAGAGGCCAGCCTGTCCGCACCTTGCCCACCTTGGCAGCCATGGAGCAGAAGGCAGTGCTGCCAGGGAAGGCAAGGATGGGCCGACGGGCTGGCCTTTCTGACCTCCAGTTCTCCAGGCTGGCTGTTTTCTGCTCAGGTCTTATTTTCAGGGAAATGGGGTGCTGTGGCCCTTCCCTTGGAAGCATCTTCCCCTTCTCGTTTCAGCTGCCTTCTTATTTCTGGGGTTTCAATCTAGTAAAATTGTAGGTTTCCACTCCAGGTATGGCCCTGGTTGGGATTCTCTTAGGAATGAAGCTATAACACTGGGCAACGTGGGTAATGTCTTTTGTTTCTTGTAAGGGTTAACGACTCTCTGATTTCTGTATGGTTTTTATTATTTTCCAGTGCTATCAATGGTTGTATTTTATATTTTGTCAAAAGAGAGCTGAATTTAATCCTTACGGATAGTTTTCCTCAGTTCTGTGTGGCCTGTGTGCCCAGGGAAATCTGATACCACGCTAACTATAGGGATAAGCTTGTATAATACAGTTAATCTCATTCTTTTGATACAGGAATGGGCATGTGGACCATTCTGGACCAAAGAGACCTGAAGAGAGTTTTGTTGGAATGTCACAGAAAGCTCTTTTTTCTCCAGGGACTGGTTTTGGGAGTGGCAATCCTTGTCCTGATGGGTATTTTGTGCTCAAGTATAGAGGCCAGAATTTCTGTTTGAGCTCACCGCCACCCAGAGGAGGGGCTGCACACAGGAGTGGGTGGGGCCGAGGGAGTCCTGGAACACTGTGTGAACCAGATCAACTGTGGCGCCTACCCCAGGTCTGAACCTCCAGCATGTTAACACTTTTCCTTATTGTTTAAGCCAAAAATAGATGCAAATTATTTGTGGGAATAGCATAGTAGTTAAAAGGATGGGCTCTAGAGTTAGAGGACCTGGACATTAATCCCAAATGTGCCATTCCTTAGCTAGACTATGTGAACAATAATATCACCAAACTAAAGTAATTCATGTGGTATACTTAACTTGAATTCTGGCATTTAGGGAATGCTATAATTGTTAGCAGTGTGAATGTTGAAATTGGTGAGAAAAATAGGAGTTATTCAAAAAGTCATTTGGGGACAAATAGCTAGTTCTTGAGAAAAGAAAAATACCAAGCCAGTTGTGGTGGCACACACCTATAATTCTAGCACTTGGGAGGCTGAGGCTGGAGGATCACTGCAAAGTTGAGGCCACCCTGGGCTACATAGTGAGTTAAAAGTCAGCCTGACCTACATAGCACAACTCTCTCTCTCTCTCTGTCTCTCTCTGTCTCTCTCTCTCTCTCACACACACACACATACACACAGATATTGGTGAATTTATCATCTTAAAGTAAGAGATACTTTTAAAGCATGAAATCAGACATGTGCACTGAGAAGCAAGATATAAGTACATTTGAATATTCAAATTTTAAAGCCACCGTGTGTCTCTTGTCCTATATACAACTCCTTCAGAGAGACTTCCCCAGCCTTAGAATGTTAGTAGTGATGGCTCGTGTGAATGATAGCTTAACACATATGATGCTCCCTCGAGAAACTGAAATAAGTGATTCAGGGTTTGTATTGTTGTTGTGGAGTTTGAACTAAAAGGTCATCTCAGCTTGGGAATGGGGTATCTCTTGGTACCATGGTCAGGGGTAAATCAGTAGACAACTATCCTGCAGAAGTAAGTGGGAAGACGGGGCAAACCTAACCCCAAACTTGGAGCTCAATAGAGCTAAGATGTTTTGAGTGCTTATGCCTCAGTCTGAAGCATGCACAGAGTACTTATCTAAAGCCCTAGCGCTGGATGTGTTATAAAACTGAAAATGGATTTCTGGGTTTTAGAAGGTGGTACAGGGTGCGCCATGTATTATGACAGACCCCCAGGAGGGCCCAGGAAGCCTCCCGTAGGTAAATGCAGTATTATTTCTGCACTTGCACATTTGAAAGTTTGCTCTAAGGTAAAGAAAGACCTTACTTTGGCTCAGTTTAAATTAGTGATGTAGAATTAACCATGAAAAGAAAATCCTTAGCTTCCAGAGCTTTATTATTTCTGTTCTTTTCTTCCATAGAGTTTTGGCTTTTAGAGCTGCAGATGAGGGTTGTGAGCCAGTCCAGACTCACCCAAGGGAAGCTGGAATGTGTCAAAAAGCACGAAAAAGAGAAAAATCACCCAGGTTCTTAACATTCCAGGCAACCTTGGTGCACCTAATTACAGTCCATTTCTAATCACAGATACTATGCTCACACATTTTTCCATGTAATACTGATTAGTTTATATGAGGAAACTGCTGCATTCTGCTCTCTATAAAATATATTTAAAAGCCTCAGAAAGCTGAAGAGCACAAACTCCTCTAAAAGTTCAGATTTTTTTTAAAAAAAAAAGACCCTATAGGTGAAAGGACCCAGTCAAAGTGGAATAAACAGTGAGCATCGGGTGTTAAGATCAGACTTCTGCTCCAGGTTCAGCCACATTCAAGGCTGACACCACCAGCCAGTGGCAAAGGCCCAGTAGACTGTAGGGGTTCCAGCCCCGCTGTGTGCTTCCATGGGGTGTGGGAATGCAAACAAACAGTCAAAAGCAGGATAGGTTTGCCACACGTAGACCCTCAGCTAGCCCAAGAGAGTGAGGGGCTGAAGACAGGATGGGAGTTAGAGGGCAGGAATTAGCAGGGCCTTGCAGATCTTCTGAGAAGGGTCAGGGACTCCCCTCAAATCAATCCTTGAGGAAGGAAATTTAAAAGGACCGTTCAAACCAGTGCGGTGGCACACACCTGTTATACCAGTCCTCTGGGAGGCTGAGGCAGGCGTATCGCAAATTTGAGCCCAGTCTGGGTAACTCAGTGACTTAGGGAGACCTCACCTCAAAGTCAAAAGCAGAATAAAGGCTGAGGATGTAACTTATTGCAAAAGCCCTGGGCTCAACCCCCAGTACTGCTAAACATAGCAGCAGCAACAACAACCGCAGCAACAGCAGCAGCAGCAGCAGCAGTAGTTTAGGAGCCTGAGGGACAGAGGGAGACAGACTGACTCCTCAGTGAGTGCAGGCTGTGGTCTGTGACGGAGTCCGTAGTCCGGCTGAGCAAGGCTGAGATCAGGCCCACATCTTGCTCACCACCCTGCTGGTCTGCTCAGAGTTGTCCCTTCCCTCCAGGGGCCGTTTCCTGGCCTGTCCCCAAGGACAGCTCAAGGGCTGAGCACGCTCCCCTCTATTTGCACTGTAGTTTCAGGGCCGAGGGGAAATTCCTTAAGTGACTCCAGCCAAATCACAAGAAAACTACTAACCGTCTAGCAGGGGACTTCAAAGGGCTTCTGAAAGCATCAGGAGTGCTTCTGCACTCAGCCAGTAGAAGGCATGAGCTCTGCCCACTCTCAGGGCCTCAGAGACCAGGGGCTGCTAGCTGGGTGCAAGCCAAGCAAACTGTTCCTACTTCCTATCTCCTACCTCTTCTGGTCTCGCCCCTTTTCTCTGACCTGAGACAGGCTATAGGAGCCTGGTGAGCGAGGAGGAGGTGGGGAAGGGAGGAGAGGCTGAATACATGTCTTGTGTCCTGGGTTTCCTACCAATAGCATGTCCACCTTGACGCAGAGAGTTTTGTTTCTGTAAATTAAATTACATGTGAGTAGACATTTTAACTATCGAAGTAAGACTCTTGTTGAGACTGGAAATCAGCCAGGGATGCTGCTGCTGCTGCTGATTATCCTAGAGTGACCAGAAAAGCGTTTTCTTCTGCCCTACAGCAGGTTTGGGGAGGAGCAGGTTCCCGTGACATGGGTGGTAGGGGAAGACTGACTCCATCTTCTAATGGGGCCCTGTGAGATCCAGCTGTCCAGGTACAGTGGAGAAAACAGGCAGAAAGGGAGCTTCCTTAGATAAAACGAGGGAACCAGCGTCCTGTTCAGATACACAGGAAGTGAGGGATCAGAGGCCCAAGTGGATTTGCCCGAGGTCAAGTTTTGGTTTAGGTGTGGTGGCCCGAGCCACCGCAGCGGAACAGACAGATGGCAGTTGGAGTTTTCTTCTGGAAGGTTTTAGACCACAAAGGAACAGCTATGGTGGCTGTGTCTTTTGAAGTTG